AAAATTTAATTTAAAAGAAAATTTTTGGCAAAACCCAAAAAAAAAAAAAAAAAAAAAAGACACCACTGAACTGCTGACAGAATTTGATTAACTGTACTGTTAATATCATAAATGCTCATTTTCTTTACATTCCTCTACTGTAAGAGGGGAAACAAATAACCTGAAGAAAATAATCTGACCCTCCCCACTTCAAAAAATGCACATACATACAGACATGCACCGCATAATGGCATTTTGCTCAATGATGAACCGCATATATGATGGTGTCCCATAAGATTATAATAGAGCAGAAAAATTCCTAATGCCTAGTGACATCCTCACAACAACATAGCACAGCGCATTACTCACATAGGATCAATAGGCTATGTGATATAGCCTAGGTGTGGAGTAGGTAATACCGTTTAGGTTTGTGTAAGTACACTCTATGAGGTTTACATAATGATGAAATGGCCTAACAATGCATTTCTCAAAACATATCTCTGTTAAGCGACACATGACTGTATGTATGTATGTATATATACACACACACACACACACATACTTAAAATGATGTTAGAATGCTTAAGAAATTTAAAATATTCTAACATTACTTTAGAAAAATGTGTTGTCAATTTATTCTAAAAATAAATTGTGTTCCATAGATAGGCAGCATTAACTGTGTCTCACATCAAAGATATCTAAAAATAACAATGTGGGTGTAGTCATTTCCTCTAAAGTGCTCTAAGAACTGTCAAGTGGAAAAAAGCTTTTCAAATAGTTCCATAATTGTGGGTTCTTCTTAATCTCAGTCCACACTGGCTGACTTTTCCTCACGAGCACTTCCAGGAGGAACTCAGAAACCAGTCTGTATTGATATGCATAAGTGGCATGTGGGGAAATCCTTGTCTTCTATCAGGAGTGGGCAGAAAACTCTGAAGGTCCATTTACTTAGAACCCAGAGAAGGCTGACAGCCATTACCTGATGAGGGAGAGGAGCAGCTGACACATGAAGACTAGCTTAAAAAAAAAATAAAAGAACGACAGATTCTAAAACATGCATATTAAGGTAAACTGCTGTATTCTGAAGTACATCCCTAAGCTTTTAAGATTGATAATCAAGAACAATTATTATCCATACCATAACAATATAGCTAAATAATCAGCTAATGTGAGATTTTACACTGCCTTTTCTGAAACTTTGCCGTTTAGCCATGTAACTTGGTAACATTCTCAAGTCAATGAGAAGGAATCTTCACTCAACAAATCACCAGTTTACATTTGACATTAGAACTGTTTTATCAAAATGTCACTGTAATGCTAAGAATATAAAAATTTTAGGCTCAAAAATTCTTTGAGACCTTGGGAAACTGATAAAAGAGTACTTCCAGGAAGGTATGCTAAAATTTTTAATTGAATTTTAAATAGTCCATGTATTTTTAATTCTAAATTAAAGATAAACTTGGAAGAAATCAATCACTCCCCTGCTAAAGTCAACTTACTTAATTTAACAAGGGCATTTCTCTTTTCACCATGCTCAATATAACCAAAATTAACTTCCCAACTCTTTAAGCCTTCTTTTTCATCACAACACTTATTTCCACAGAAAAATTGACCTGTGAAAAGGAAAGAAATATTAGCCATGGTGGCTGGTGACAATATTTAACTACATGATCTAATAGTATTTCTAAAATATACTTTTAAAATATGTGAATTCTTAGGTATAAAAAGTTAGCATTAAAAAATAACTGACAACAGTAATTAGAGTATGCTCATGAAACATGTACACAAGATCTTAAATCATAGAGCTGAACTGTTACCAAAAAAATCAGTCACAGAATTCTTACTTGATAGATTGACTGTTTATATTTAGATACAGAGTTTTAGTGACTCCCTATTAGGGAATCTTCCACTTGGGAAAGTGAGAGTTTTAAAGAGTGTGCTCACTAATACCCCAAAAGAATAAAAGCATTTTCCAAAGTATACACACTTACACCTGGTGAATCCTTTCAATATTTAATAGTAATATTAAAATTAATATTATTGAGTATGAACATAATGGCATTTATTTTTAGTACCAGCACAAATGGACATTGAAAACAAACTTTAAAATTCTAGCATTTTGAGATGAAGTGCATTTTGTTTTTAGAGTAAATTGACAACATATTTTTCTAAAGTAATGTTAGAATATTTTAATTACTCAAACCTGATACTCTAAATTTTAGAATCACTTGACACTGATATTAATACCACATTACCACGTCCACTATATATTAAAACCTCCCCCCCAAAAATATTAACACTACTCCTGATGACCCAAGAGAACTCAAACCTGATACTCTAAATTTTAGAATCACTTGACACTGATATTAATACCACATTACCATGTCCACTATATATTAAAACCTCCCCCCCAAAAATATTAACACTACTCCTGATGACCCAAGAGAAAAAAAAAAGTAGAAACTACTCAACAATTATTTACCTTAGCAGGAAAAGACAAGATCACACTTTAATTTGTAGAAACAAAAAAATAATTTATATCACAATAGTTTGCACCAGCAGGAGCAAACCTGAAACCAGCAAATCCTTTTCATAAATATGTAAGAAATTATCAAGATGATTTTAGAAAATTATTATCCAAAAGGCTGATTTCTAAAGCAGCCATTTATATTCATTCCAAATGAATACCTTATTAAATCTATACATGTTTAGTAATGAATCTGTTGTTAAAACAGCAACAACAAAATTATAACTTATAAAAGAAATCATAGCAGTAGCTTTCTCTCCCCTTCCCAACTAGTCCTTTATTCAATTACATGAATTTAGAGAATGTCTATCCATTTTTTTAAAAGGTAGCATTATAAACGCGCTTGAAAATCCCATTCAACCAAAGTACAAAATTTTTAAATTGCGATAGACTTTTCCAGATTTCTCATTATTTTAGGTAAAAACAGAAACTAATACACAACTCTAAGAAAAGTTAGAAATAGCTTTAAATTTATTCTTTTTCCTTTTGTAAAGTGACTTCAGGGCTGATCCTTTATTATTATTTATAGAAAAAATTCCTACCATTTAGTTTAATTTGTTTTATTGCATATCCAATTTCTCACCTGACATAAAACATATTCGATTTATGGAAGATGTGTATGAACCACACTGATAGCATAAATGTTTAATCATTTAAAAATGCAAGCTTTATTTTCAGTTTAAAAGATTTTTAAAGTTTAAAATTATTTCCTAAATGCTACTAGTTTTCAGAAATAGTAACACTTCAAATGCAGTTATTCAATAAAGAGCTAATTTCATAGCACAAGACAGTCTATGCAGTTTTCAAACAAATTTAATGAACAGATTACAATACTCAGAAAAAGCATTTACTGATTGCCTACCAAACGTTTCATCTTTTGCTATTAGACTAAATATTTGGGCTCAATCTCAGGGACTCCCCCAAACAAGAACTAGCCTGTCTAAATATTCTTTTGAGTTTAAAGTAATATTTATTTATTTATTTCCCCAAACAAGAACTAGCCTGTCTAAATATTCTTTTGAGTTTAAAGTAATATTTATTTATTTCTTTTTTTTCTTTTTTTTCGTGTCCGGCAACAGATCGCAACCCTCAGTGTCGCGCCCGTACCGGACCGGGACCGGCAACGGGATCGCAACCCTCGGCGCTGCACCCGCACCTCGCTCAGCCAGTGAGTAGGAATCGGTCTGTATGTGGGATCCGAACCCTCGGCGGGAGCACCGCCGCGCTCCCAAGCGGTGCACTGTAGCAGTGCGCCACCGGGCCGGCCCTTAAAGTAATATTTAATCTCTACTTTCGAAATATGGATTTGGCTAGAATACAGTAATACCAACTCATTATTCCAAATATTGGTAAGGAAAGGGAAAGAATCAAGCATTCATTTATTGAAAGTTTTCTTGCTATTACATCTTTCACTCTTTAAACATTTTCTACATATCCTCAATTGAATTTTCTAAGGCAAAATTCTAAAGGTAAAAATAATTAAAGCATTATAATCTGACCTTTGGTAATAATGTGTCATGAATATACATTCTTTAATTTTACTTTTATAAATAATGTATTGTATATGTTAGGAATAACCTTACCCAATGACTTCAATTCAATAACATAACAAAATAAACTGTATCCTATTAAAAAGTAAAATTTAAAAACAGAATTACCTTTTCCTGAAATTACTTCTTTTTCTACTCGCCACCTAAATCCAAACTAATAAGAAAAAATATTATATTTATGCCAAAGTAAATTTAAACAGTAAATTTAAATTATGTAGAAATCTAAACATGGAGCCAACAATAATGACATCTACCAACCTAAAAAATAAACCTAATTCCCATCATGATAGCTTTTTGTCTTCTTTATAGGATTCCAAGTACTTGAAAATATATTTGAACAATTTAACAACTTATTTGTTAAGAACAACCTTTTTTACTTTTAAAATATTTTAAAAGTTACAGGTACGAGGCTGCAAGATACCTAAGTTAATAAATAATATAGCCTGTTCTATGACACTGACAAAAAGAGATTATAGTATGGTAAAGAGGCAGTATATCATAGTGCCAAAAAATATAGCCTTGGAGTAAGATTATTTACATCTACATTTTAGCTCCCCCATTTAACAGCTGTATAGTTCTGGCAAATTATTTAATCTCTTTTTGCCTCAATTTCCTCATACGTAGAGATATGAGTACCTACTTCTTTGGGGGCAGAGGTTTAAATGAGGTAACACATATATAGCACTTAAAATAATAACTAGTACATAGTAGACCAAGGGTTAGCAAACTATGGCACACAGGCCTGTTGCCTATTTTTATAAAGTTTTATTGGAACACAACCACATCCATTCATTTATGTATGTCTACATAAAAAGTAGACATTTTACTCTACGAACAGTAGGGTTCAATAGCTGTGACAGACAATAAAGCCAGCAAAGCTAAAATCAGTTACTATCAGGTCTTTTGTAAAAAATAGTTTGCCAGTCCCTTTAGTAAATGCTCAGTAAGTTTCACTCATTAGTTATTATTACTATAATCCCCTCTGGCTCACCAAAGAATATAATCAGCTATTTCCCATATGCAATGAGAAATCACAGGGTTCAGTAGTAAAAAAAAAAACCACGCCTCTGATATCATCAACCTAATCTGAGAAGTCTCTCACTGACGTAAAATCCAACATCATTCAGGCTTCTGTCACTGGCAAAGTTTAGCCCAGAGACAGAACAGGAAAGAGCAGTGGGACCAGTTTTTATCCCTCCAAGGCAAAAAATTTTTAGGACTTCCATCCACTCCTAAACGTAACCGGTTTTTAGCTAAAAATGATTTGTCTCTGCTGCCTTAAGATCTTTCACATTCATATGCTAATTTACCATAGATTCAGTAAATGGTTTAGTTCTCTATTCAGTTTAAAGTAATCGTTAAAAGCTCAGCTCTCCAGCAATCATGCTTCTTGGTATTTACCCAAAAGAACTGAAAACTTATATGTACACAAAAACATGAATATGGATGTTCACAGCAACTTTATTCATAATTGCCAAAACTTGAAAGCAACCAAGATATTCTTCAGTAGTTAAATGGATAAATAAACTGTGGTACATTCAGATAATGGAGTATTATTCAGTTTTAAAAAGAAATGAGATATCAAGCCATGAAAAGACTCGGAGGAACCTTACATGCATATTTCTAAGTGAAAGAAGCCAATCTGAAAAGGATACATACTATATGATTCCAACTATATATCCTGGAAAAGGCAAAACTATGGAGACAGTAAAAAGATAAGTGATTGCAAGGGGTTAGGGAGAAGTGAGGGATGTACAGGCAGAACACAAGGGATTTTTAGGTCAGTGAAACTATTCGGTAAGATACGCTAGTGGTGGATACATATCAGTATATGTTTATCAAAACCAGTAGAATGTACGATACCAAGAGTGAACCCTAATGTAAATTATGGACTTCTGAGTGATGATGATGTCACAGTGTAGGTCCATCGGTTGTAACAGACCTACCACTCTTGTGGAGGATGGTGAGCGTAGAGGAGGCTGTGAGGGGGTCGGTGCAGAGCTGGGGGTATAGGGGAACTCTGTACTTGCTGCTCAATTTTGATGGGAACCTAAAAATGCTCTAAAAAATAAATTCTATTTAAAAAACAAATTCTATTTAAAAGACAAAAAACAAAAAAATACTCAGCTCTAGAATTATGCAAACATGTACTCAACTCAAGAAGATCTACCATTCACTAACTGGCTCTGTAACCTTGTGAAAGTTACTTCTCTAAGTCCATTTCCTCTTAATATATAAAAATGGGGATGGTAACAACCTTAACCTGACAGGATTATTGTATTAAGAGAGAGAAATCAGATAAAGTGTTCAATGCCTCGTTAACTTATTTTATCAGCTATTACTTGAATTTGGCAATTTTGTATTTTAAATGCAATAAACGTTCAAAATATTTCAAAGTATTCTGATTAAAACCCAATGAAAATAAAATCCTCCAAGTCTAGGGAAAAAAAGAAATAAAAAATTCAAAATAACTCTGTTTAATTCTATTTTAAGCCATACTCATATATGTGTATGGAGATTGCTTGCCATCCTACATATGTTGAGATGTCCACTGAAGCATGGCCAAATATGTAACGGCAATAGTTTCCAAACTTTTTCTTTCATTCATTCATCTATTCAACAAATACTTAAGTAACTACTTATTGGGCTTGGCATTCCACAGGGGGGAAAAAAAAGTATTATTAAAATAGTGCCTGTCACCAAGAAGGTTATAATCTTATGGTGGGGATAAGAAACGTAATGAAACAACTACACTATATCCTGCTAAAGATTGTATGTTCTTATATTCTTTCCTGACATGAATTTCCTGCTAATAGGTTGGATTAAAGCTGGAATTATTAAGGGTTTGGTGCTGAGTCTCCATCTCTTCTCACCCTGCCCTCTATCACAAAGAGATCACACATACAAGCAGTAAGACTGATCCTGACTTTCTGACAACACCAAGTTCTATGACTGTCTACTTGGACTATTGTGTAAAAGAAAAACAAACCTGTAGCTCAGTTAAACCAGTGTTGTTTGGGGGAGTGCTCTCTGTTCCTTGCGCTGAATCTAATCCTAACTGATATAATGATCCAACTAAATTCCCAATGATGGAAGGGAAAAAGCAACAGAGGAATGAATGAGAGAATGGGGCAAAGACAGAAATTTACTGAAAATGCCCTAAATATCTACTATTATATATTAGGCATTGAGCTAGGAGCTGGTGAATTAAAAGTGAACAAAACACTGTCTTTGTGTAAATAAAACAGAGAACATGCATCCTAGCAAGGGAACCAAAGGCATTACCCCAACACCTCAAACGTGATGTGCCAAAAAAGTTATTATCTTTTCCCTTCAAAAAATATCCCCCTCTAAATTCCCTACTTCTCTCGGTATCTACACTCAAAACCTGTGAGTCACACCTGATATTTTACTTGCACTTAACCTCATATCCAATCATTCTTCAAGCTCTAATAGGAAAATATAACTTTTTTCACATTTATTCTCTTTATACTATGACTTCCAGTAATATGCTTTTGTTAATGGAGAATTCAGATACTCAATTTTTACTTGCGTATACGTTCTCCCCTCAGCTAGACTAGCTTTTTCTGAAGGGCAGTTGCTATGTGTTAATCCTTAGTACCCAGTCTAGTTTCAATAAATAGTGAAGAACATCCACAAATGTGCCAGGGTTGAAAAATCTGCTTTGTTACATGCTCCTAGAAAAACTCAGTACTTCACACCTCATTTGCAATGTAGTAACTTCAAGTAACATCAACTGCTGTGGTGCTTTTTGGATTAGATGTGGTAATTAACTAGTACAGGTATCAGAGTCCATAGTTAGTTCAAAAGAAACAGAAGCTTTTGGAATAAACTAACTGTATGGGTTTGTAAACAGGGTTATACAAAATGAACATGACTACTGTATTGTTTTTAAGAAATTGTGAAGCAACACACACAATAAAGACACTTCTGAAAAAATTACTGAACCAATCCTGGTTCTAATGAGATCAAACCATTTAAACAAAAAAGAAATGCTTATGATATATAAATTTAAGGTAGCTTTTTAAATAGGTTGTCTTTTTTAATATAATTCAAATATACACAATCCTAACATATATATGTATGCAATATTCCCTCCTCTCCCATTTCCAACTGAGATCATCTGTTCCTGGGTTACCTTCTCCAGCTACAAATTTGAAGTTTGAGCTAGGAATAAAAATAACTTTAATATAAACTAAAGAAAGATGTAAAGTGGGAAAGGAAATCTGCCATTACTAATTAGCACTGATTGAAAAGTTAATTTTACTAGAATAGACATAATTATGTAACAGGAGATGTGCATCTGCATCTCTATAAATGGTAATCAATTCTTTTAAGAGCTGTCAATTTGAAACATCATCTGTGAAACAAGACATGATTCTGCAGTGTTAGATCATTCATTATAATCACTAGAGGTTCTAGACTAGTCAGGATGAAACAGGATCCAGTAGCCACTTGTGTTTAATTTTAGACTTTTCATGCCTTAGCTCACAAAGAAAAAGAAGCACCCTTGTCCTTTATAAATTTTATAGGCCTTCTGAAAATCCCATAGCTGCAGAGGTTAAATGGTCCACATGACAATTCATGAGTGCAGGACAACTTAGACTATAATTAGCATCTTTAAAAAAATAATATGGGGCATGATAATATAATAAAAATTAATATTACACTTGAATAAGAAACTTCTATAAATATTTGGAAAACATACCTTGTTTTCTTTGTATCTACTAAGATCTGCTATGCAATATTCCTTGAATAATTTATCATAGTATTTCTTTGCAAGTCTCTTCTCCCTAGTTCCATAAAAATATATAAATATTACACATTTAGAAATCCAACCACAGTTTGATACTTGGGAGCAATGTCAAATAAATAACGCATACGATATAAATATTAATGCTCTAAAAGAGGCCTATTATTTACATGTGCATAGAATATCTGTATATGAACTATAAATAGTGGTTCTCTCAGGGAAGAAAACTATAGGACTAATAGTCAGAAGTGAGAAGGGAAATTACTATTCATTTTATATTCTTTGTGATGTTTGGATTTTTTAAACCATTTTTAGATATTACTTTTTCCCAAAATATTTCAAAAATTTAAAAGGAAGCATATAATAACATATTACAAGATAACACACAATACTGTAAGAAATGTTATTTTTAAAAGACTAAGTCAAGCAATGAGAAGTCAGTTAAAACTGCCAAAAACTACCAAAAGAGCCAAACCAGATTCAACAATCCTAGGCATGGTTTTGCGTCTTTGATTCTGAACTGTTCTATGAAAGAGCTAAATGCCTGGGATAAGTGACAAAACACTCAGAGAATGGGAGAGACAGGATTAACGCATTTGATGCACTACACCTCTGATGCCTAAAATTACCAAGTCATGTCCATTTCATCCTCCTCATTCCACAGAAATCTATGATTTTCTCGAATAACATCGAAGTCTGTTTTGTCATTTTCCCTAGAAAATAAAACTATTTCAATTTGATATAAAAACAAAATTAGTCAAATTTAAAAGGTTAAACAGTTTTGTGAGATTTTTGAAAACTTGAATAAAAATTTAATACTTGAAGATAAAGACACTTTTATGTGTGATATGTACATACATACATATACACATATATGTACACATATTTATAAAAACTATTTCAGTTTTTCCAAAAGCCACTTATAGGGCTGGCCCGTTAGCTCAGTTGGTTAGAGCGTGGTGTTGAGAAGACCAAGGTCAAGGGTTTGGATCCCTGAACTGGCCAGCCACCAGAAAAACACTAAAACAAAACAAAAGGCACTTATGAAGAGTGCTGCTATAGAAGCGAGTTAAATGGATAAGAAATCTATCAGTTTCTAGCACTGGTTTCAATTATACAAATGGTGCAAAGTTACCAAAGCTAGGATGAGAAACCTGAATAAACACTAAATGGATAAACAAAAGTGAATGAAAATGAGTTTACAAATCTAACCAAAAGTCAGAAACACCACTCGATTGAGATTTAATTTTAATAAATATGAAAAGTTTTCCATACCTCATTTTACTTCAGTTTCCTAGGAAGACTGAGTAAGGGAGGAAGAGAGTTGAAGGGCATGATCTTTCAAGTTAAAATGCTAACAGTTTGGGGGTAGAATAAATGACTGTTGGGGATATAAGCTAAATTGACAGGTGACATAAATTTGAGGTAGATGAGATGGTACTAAAGTTTTTTAGGGCCCTACCAACTCAGAAAATTATTAAGTCAGAGAAAAAAACCCCATACAAAACCAAGAGGTTCGAATATATATAAGAAGGACTTTCATGTGTGTGAAATACTAGAATGAGGTTTCTTGTTTGCCCTACCTTTTAAAAGCCATCCCAAACATTAAGGTCTAAAAATTCCATTATTTCAATGATCCTTGCCAATAAGACACATGAGTATTCCTCACATTTCCTGTTATTGCCAGGGTCATACCTGGCTCAGCAGGTGAGGAGGCCACCTGAGACCGGTTGCCAAAGAAATAGGATTCACGAAGAGCTACTTAGCTAGAAGCTGTGGATGGCCTCTCCAATCTTATGATATAACATGGAAATGGGAAAAGACAGTAGAAGAGTGACAGAATCGGAAGACACAGTAGCTGTGGATATTAAAGTCAGCCATGCCCACCTTCCCATTCTATGTAAACTTCATGTTTCTTACCCCAAACGTCTGAAGTCTTCTTTTTTGCCACCATAATATAAAATATAGTCATTTACAAACTTTGTATGCCTTTGATACTGAAATGCAAAAAATTAAGGATTTTATTCACTTAGAAGTGGTTCTGTGTCATAATATATTACTGAGGGTGGGGGGGAAAAGCACATTATGAATCTATTTACCTTTTTTTAATATGGAAATATGTACTATCCATGCTTATACATTCAAAAAAATTTAGGGTATATATTAAACTGTTAAGAGTGAAGACTGCAAGGTAGAAGGGCTTTCACTTTCTATCGAATATTGTTTATAATGTTTTGAATATTTTTCAAGCATGTATTACTTTTTTTTTTTTTTTTTTCCTTTTTGTCTTTTTTCGTGACCGGCAACGGATCGCAACCCTCGGTGTTGCTCCCGCACCTCGCTCAGCCAGTGAGCGGCCGGTCTGTATGTGGGATCCAAACCCTCGGCGGGAGCGCCACCGCACTTCCCAAGCAGCGCACTATAGCAGTGCGCCACTGGGCCGGCCCAAGCATGTATTACTTTTATAAAATATATCTTCATCTGGGGAGAAAGATAGCTTCCTATTCTATTGCTGGATTGCATACAGTCTCACACCACCACTCATTTTAATAACTGCAATATGAAAAAATAAAAATTATGGTTTCTAAAATTAAAGGTAAGAAGTAGAATCTATTTTTCACTATTATAAAATATAATTTAGCTATTTCAGTAATGATAAAGCCTCTAATTAAAAAAATGCAACTTTTATAATACGAAATCCTAATAGGCTTTCAAAAAAGCAAATATAATCAGATTTTTTATACTTTCTCTTAACATTCAAAGAATCCACACCACATTTATTTTCAATGCAGTATAACAATATATATGAGCATTTTACTTTTTGTTTTAAAAAAGCTTAATGGCACTCTCTGTAGAGCTGAACATGTACATAACAGAGCTGACCTCACCTTCTATAATACTGTCTGTGACTACACTCTAATGTATTAAAGACAAATAGTAATTTAATTGATCACAATGTGTTCTAATAAAATATTTAATCAGAATATGATAATTCTAAAACTCGCAACAAAGCAGTTAATATTTCAGAAAGGGGGGAGAGAGAGAGAGAGAAGCCAGATATCCAGAGATCTAGGTTCTAGCTCTTGATCTACCACTAACTGGTCACATGACCATGGCAAGTCTCTTAACCTATTAGAGCTGGAGTCAACAACCTTTTTCTGTAAAGGGCCAAATGGTAAATATTCCAGGCTTTTCAGGCCATACAGCCTCTGCTGCAACTGTTCAGCTTTGTCATTTTGGCATGAAAGCAGCCATAGATGACATATAAACAAATAAGCATGGCTGTATTCCAATATAATTTTATGTTATAAGAAAGGCAGGTGGTGGGTGGGACTTTTGCTTCCAACAAGATGCAGTAAACAAAGATGTACTTTTCCCTATTCCTCACACTAGCAACAACTAAAAACCTTGGACATTACACATAAAACAATCATAAGAAGACTCTGAAAGGTGGAGAGAAGAAAGCACACTACGTAGGAACATCAGGACCTGTGGTATAACATGGTGATGAGTTCCCCAGGTTTTCTTTCTGTCTCATATATCCCAGATAAGAAGGTAAAGAAGCTGGCAACCTGGAAATGCCAATAGCCACAGACTAAAAAAAGCCTCAACAAAAGACTATTCCAAGAGTCAGCCTACCAAGACTGACAACTTTTAGACAAGAACTACTCCAGCCAAACACCCCAGAAAAGGAATGCCTAGGCTTTCACGTTCACCAGGCTGTAACTAAGTGCCGCAACACCTCCAATGGAGTGGTGTCAGAGAAGGTAGAGCCAGATGTTCAAATGCTAAAGAAACAAGTGGCAGGTGAGATCCATGGTAAAGCTACACTACTGGGTTAGAAGATAAGAGGAATAAATAAATTAGCAACACAATGCTACTTCTGTAACTTAAAGAAAAGGATTAGAATGATAACAAAGTGAAACAGGTGACTAGAGGAAGGGGGTATATCAAATTGACATTGTCTCCTTCTTCCAGTGCTCACCATAGCAATAAAAACCCGGAAATACTTCAAGTCTTGCTTGGCCCATCATAACAAAGTGAAACAGGTGACTAGAGGAAGGGGGTATATCAAATTGACATTGTCTCCTTCTCCCAGTGCTCACCATAGCAATAAAAACCCGGAAATACTTCAAGTCTTGCTTGGCCCATCTTTCATTCTCCAATATTCTCAACAGTAATATGGATGACCAGTGTAGCAGCTAGTGTCATAACCTCCTGTCTTATTAAAAAATTGAGCTGAGATATGGCTACAACAGGGAAGCAAGAAGAGCTTAAAGACAGCCTCAAGTCACACCTGAAAATGAAAGCCACAGCAGGCCTGGGGACAGTCCACAGACCTAATTTTATACATAAGTTTCACAGAAACCTTAAATAGCCAGGAACCAGGTAGGAAGAGAATAAATTAAAATGAGATTAAAGATAAGTGTAGAAAAGAGAAATGTTGAAAGCTTGACAAAAACAAGTTGGAAAAAATATTTGCAGGTTCACAGACTTTGTAAACCTATTTATAGAATACTAGTTATATGTTTCATTATTTTTGTCTCTAAATCTTTGCTATATATTAGTAAAAGAGAATCGTACCCAGAAAGTATAAATGGCAAAATTCACAAGTTGGAAAAAATATTTGCAGGTTCACAGACTTTGTAAACCTATTTATAGAATACTAGTAATATGTTTCATTATTTTTGTCTCTAAATCTTTGCTATATATTAGTAAAAGAGAATCGTACCCAGAAAGTATAAATGGCAAAATTATACATCAATAAGCACATACCTTAAAAAATATAAAAGGCCTATTTGTCTTCGCAAGATTTTATGAAATAAAAAGGCAGATTTTGAAACATTCTACTAGTGATAAAAATCTAGAAATATAAAAAGGATACAGCATCCATAGCTATGAGATGAAACCTTCTATTTCTTGCTTCTTCCCTGTTAAAACAAATTTCATTTTAAGCAAATTAAAATGTCTATATTCTAATTAATATAATCAAATCCCCTAGTCCCTTAATTTATAAAATGTCTTAAACCAAAGAACATAATTTACATTGAAATACAATACCTATCCAGCAATTCTGCTGCAACTTGTTTATGGGCCACCTTTCCATGTTTTTCTTTCTGAAATGGCTTTTTGAGCAGTAAATCATCTTCAACTGTCCTGGTGTATTAAGAAAAAAAACTTATTAAAAGTTACTTTTTCTCCAAGGTTGTTTCCTAATTCCTTATATTTTCATAATTGCAACATGTTTTAAAGAATTCAAGTCTTAACTCAAAAAAGAGTCACTGATCTTAAATGAGACATTTGACATCTCCTTAGATAGCTTAATTAACAACTTTATTTAATACCTATAAAATGGAGAAGATGAAACTAATAATAGCATGAGTTCTACTGTCAGACTATCTAGGTTCTTGGTTCAAATTCTGACTCTGCCATTTACTACCTTAATCTTAATAAGATTAAGTTACTTAATCTCTTCATGTCTCGATTTCCCTGTTTATAGAATGTGGATAAGAAAGCTTTTGGTAATTAATAATATGGAAAAAGAAAGGCAGATTATAGAGGATATAGACCTTAGCTGATCGGCCCTAGTTATGTAGATGAATATAATCCTAGAGCAGAATATCCAACTAGATTTGCTTATATTCTATTCTCACAAAGTAATATTTTTGATTGAAAAAATCTAGAAAATGTAAAGTACCATAAAAAGTAATGTGTTATAATTATTACTATTCTTTTGGTTATCGGTGAAGACTAAGTATCTTGTAAGTGTTCAATCCCAGTTAGTATGCCTATGTATGCTGTCAATGTAAAATAATAAACCTTTCTGTAAGTTTGGTTAGTATGAATCAGTCAATCACTCCTCAGTTAATGGATAAAACTGAGTTTCTAAGCACTGAAAGCTGAGAATAAGCACAGTAATTCTGTCAAAATGTAGCCTCTTTATAACACTCGGGCTTTATGTACTGACAGTTCTTGTGTCCCTTCCAAATCAGTAAAACCTACCGTGAGCTTCTTCCCTTGACCACTTAATCTGCTCATTCATAAGAACTGCGATGCATTACAATTTCATCCCCCACATTTATCTCACTCTGAAGGCCAGTACTAGAAAGAGACTACAAACCAGGACCCTTCCGAGCTATAACATTTGCAAGTAAACAGCCCTTGATAGTTGAATGAAAAACACATGCAAAAGAGAAATATGAAACCTTCAGAATCTTTCTTTTTCTCCTTCCCTTTCAATAAACCTTTCCACAGCATAAATATTCTTATTTTTCCCACAATTGTTCCCCAACTTTGAATCAATTTATTTCAGTTTAATGAAAATTCATCCACTAGAGAGCAGTTGTCTTCACATGCAAACACAACCCCCAAACTTTCAATATTATTTATTTATACCTCTTATCATTCTAGAAAGGATGTGAAACATAGATTAATTAAAAATTACTTACCTTTTTCTCCTTTTGCTAGATTCTCCACAGTGTTCATCATCGCTAAAATCAGAGTCATAGCCCCCATGACCATGCATCTGTTAAGGAGTATGAAGCCAGCCATTTAGAACCTAGTTGCCAATTGTTGTAGGAAACAGTACAGTTTAATAAGTTATCTTAAACAGCCACAATAGTTTTAAAGGGCCATGGTGGGCAGATCACCGTTTGTGGGATATCCAGCCATCTAAAACTTGCATTCACTTTGAAATAATAGACTTACTCTTCAGAATATGCATCAACATTTTTCACCTATAATTATCATTAGGTGAACAAGGGAGGCTACTCTTTCACCTTTTCATTGAAAACCAGGCCTAGAAGCTGCAAAGAAATTGCATACAAAGTTCAGCAATGCTTCACTTTTACTTGACTCATAGTAGTAACAGTTACTGTGTATTTATCACCAGCTTTGTTCCAGACATGCCAAATACTTTACAAACAAAGCTTCTAATACTGCAAGTCAGGAACTGTTATCTCCATTTCAGGGATGAAAAAAAAGGACAAATTAATATCAATTTCACAAAGCAAATAAGTAGCTAAACTGATCTACTTGATTCTTAAGCCCAATTTCAACTACTCCAAATTGCCTTTCTGGAATATGATTAACTATATTCCATCAGAATAACAGTATTTGTAAACAGTACTGTATCAATCGAAAATTTTCCTATTACCTTTTTCAACATATGTAGACTTCCATTTTATTTTGGGTTTCTTCAAGGTAAACTACCTTGTCCTTTGGCTTAGTCAGCTTTATCTTGTTTCAATTCATTTTTGAATTGAAATTCTTAAAAACACTAACCTTTTTCAACATATGTAGACTTCCATTTTATTTTGGGTTTCTTCAAGGTAAACTACCTTGGCCTTTGGCTTAGTCAGCTTTATCTTGTTTCAATTCATTTTTGAATTGAAATTCTTAAAAACACTGTTCATCCATCCCATACCCATCCTAACTCCGTGGTTGCATTAAATAGCTCTCACTCACTTCAGGCTACGAATCAACTGACAAGGGCCGAAAGAAATCGAGAACGGAGATGCCAGCTGTCTCCAGAGTCTGTCGTCCAAAAAAACAAAACAAAAAAATTATAATCAGCTAGTAGTACATGAGGAACAAGTTTCAAGGTCCTTCTCCCCGACGTATACCCACGGCCCTTCTCATACACCCGTTCCCCTCCTCCCTGCTCTGCCAAGTTCGTCCCGAGTCCTTTCCCAGCAGCTGCAGCGACGACCCACAGCCTGAGCGAGCCGCTGCAGGCCCGACACCGTCTGCCCAGGCCGCTCGGCACCGCCACAGCCACAGCCACCACCGCAAAGCCAGCTCCACGCCTCTCCCTACGGGTCCCGACTAGGTGCCGCTTCCGGTCTGGTTCGACCGCGTGTCACACCTAAATGGCACCGTCCCCGGGCGCGCCGACCTTGTGCTACAACCAAAACAGCTCCGGGAAACAAGGGCGGCGGGAGGAAAGGCCCGGAAGGGGAGGCAGAAGCTTCCTGCTTTCGCAAAGTCGCATCCCCCAGATTTTTCCTGGGCCTCCTTCCTTTTCCCTCTAGGGAATCCAGCATCTAAGACCGTGTGGCACTGCCCGCAGCTCAGCCCACGTCCCTCATTTGAAAATATATTTTGTTTCAGAGGAAGCCCTGCCTGCCTATCGCCTGCCGTCCTCTCTCGAGTAACCTTAGTAACGCCCCTCAGAGCATCCTCGCCGCCGAGCTTCAGATCAGCCTGTCCTCCCCCAGCCCCCTCCTCTCCCTGTAAAACAGTTCTCATAATTAGAACAAAAATAATTTTCCATCGTTTCACCACCCACACAATAGATACCGTTCCAAATGCAGTACTGGCGGCACAGAAGATCATCTAATTTGTGAGGAAAGAAAGAATAGGGAGTAGGAGACATCTCACAGGGTCATGGATTCTCTGCCTACGAGCCACCAGGCACGTGTGAAAAGAGATCCAAAATAGAATGGGGGGGGGGAAGAGGCAGGAAAAGTTAAATTATTTTAAGCTCCACCAGGTTCTCCCTGTATTTTTCCTTTTCTACATTATGACGCCCCAGTCTACTTCCAGTCTAGTTACTGGGTTCATGTCTTGTCTCCCTTCGGCATTTCTGCGTCCTTCTAGTACCCAACAGAGCACCCTGGAAATCACAAGTGCTAATTAAATATATGTCGAATTGAACTGGCACGTCTCTGGCTTTTACGGCGGACACTTTTTAGAGAAAACTTGGGCACTTAATGCTCATTCGTTTTACATATTTTGCCCTAAACAGATAAATCAATATCCTTATCCGTTCAAGGTCCCTTCTATCCTGGACAGTAAATTATAAATACATCCTGCTTTACCCAATGCAGTGAATGTGATCTTGGAAAGCCGTAAGTTAAATTATTGCAAATGCAATTATTTCAAAATGCAATCAGACTACACTTCAATAAAAAATGTTTACACAAAAACTTTAAAGCAGTAGAATTATTTTGTCAAGCAGTTCCTTTCTTGGTAAATATCTTTAAAAATATTGTTTTATTTATTATTAACAAAAACCAAACACACCTATATCTTGTATTTAATTTCCTTTCTACCAATATTTGACATTTATTAGCGTTTTTCTGCCATTCCTAGTATCTTCGTGTCTAGTGCTTCATTTCACTCTTCCAACCACTCTGCGCTGCTCTGTCATTAGCCCCCATTTACACAGGAGAGAGAGGGACAGAACCTAAAGCCACAAACCTGCCGAGGCTCTAGAATTGGGCCTGTCAGGTCGCCGAGGAAGGACACGCTAGCCACGTAAAGGAAGAAAAGAAGAGTTTATTAGCAAGCAGCAAGCGGACCTGCTGGGCTGAGCCGAAAAATGGCGTCAGCGCCCAGAGGCAGTTAGGGGTCTTCTTTATAGGGTTAAGATTGGCATCTGGCCTAGCCTAGGAAGATGGTCACAGTGTTCCATTTCAGGTACAGCTTGCTCATGGGAACAGAGACTCGGGGAGACAGAAACCTTGGGCTAGCTGGGGGAGCAGTTGCAATGTTACACTCTGGGTAGAGCCTGCTCAGCCTGCTCCTGGGAGCAGCTTGCTCATGGGAACAGAGACTCGGGGAGACAGAAACCTTGGGCTAGCTGGGGGAGCAGTTCCAATGTTACACTCTGGGTAGAGCCTGCTCAGCCTGCTCCTGGGAGCAGAGACGTAGGGAAGCAGAGACCTTGAAGAACGAAATTTAGAGAAACAAAATGAAGGGTGGGGGCTTTCTAAAAGTCAGTTCTCAGTTCCAGGGACCTAACAGAGCAGTACTTGTCTCTACCAGACCCAGTTTCTCAATCTCTCTCTCCCTCCTCCCCCCTACCCATGGATTGTGTGGGAAGAGTAGCTTCTAGTTCCAGCATTTCTAAGAATTTTAGATCTGTTGCTACCAGTTCATTCAGGCAAAGATTTCCATTTTTCACTTTGAGGCAGCAGTTTTTGAAAGGGGGTAAATAGAAAATATATGTTAAGATAGATCACATGATCTAATCTAAAAATAATACAGGATAGAAAACCTACCTGATCAGGAAATTTCAAGTTAGCAAGTATAACTCAACAATAAAAAACCGCATATTTATTAAGTGCCTGCTCTGGGCAGGGCACGGTCCTAGTCTTCAGAGTTACAGGTACTTCAAAAAGCTTGTGGAAAAATGGAATTAAAAGATAGTACAGATATTTCCATGAACTTTTTGAAGACTCCCTCATAAAAGCCACTTACTCATTACTTCTGAAGGTTGACTACTAAGGAAGACGAGATATATAGAATAACAACAATATATTCTGTCATATACCAAGTGCCTAGTAAGTGGCATGAACCTGTGGTTCCCAATCTGTGAAATGTGTTATTTCAATAAATATGAAAACATAAATGTGTACAAATGCTATGTAACTCAAATAAAGCAACGAAATACCATGGCAGGTATGCAGTGGAGATGAGGGAAGTTGGGTGATGGTGGTGGTGATAATATCAAGCAATATTTCTAATACAAACTACAAATGTGTATTCTGCTAATACTTCATATCTTCAAGCAGATTTTATTTTCTAAAAATGGCCACACCAATATATCCCATTTAACATGCTCTTCTTATGATATGACACTGACACTCATCCATGGTAAACTGATACCTGTGATCCTAGCCTTAAATCTAGGCATGTCAGTGACTATAGTAGAAGTAATGCTAAAGCCTTCTGAGACTAAGTTGAAAAAGGTGATAGATTTTTTGCCTGGCTCTCTCCTTCCCCAGTTGACATGGAGAACAGCAGAGATGAGTGTCTCTACTGAGCCCCACCCAGATTGCAGATTCGTGAGCCAAATACATGTTGTTTTCTCAAGCCACTAAGTTTAGGGGTGGATTATTATATACCAATAGATAACCAGAACTGCCTGCTAGCTCACTTGACCCCCCCAAACATCTGATGAGACCTCAACCATGCTTGGCTTTTTTTGTTTCCTCAACATGCATGCCTCTTCAGATTTACCATTCCCTCCACCTGGAATAATATTCCCCTCCTCTGCCTGCCTAACCCCTCTTTATCCTTCAAACCTCAGCTTCGGTGAAGGAAAAGCCTTTCACGACAATCTCTTCCACAGACTAGGTAGGATTACCTACAATATGCACAAATTACTTTCTGTAGCACTTAGCTACACTGACATAATAATAATTTAGTCCGAGTCTTTCTCCCTCACTGAGATGTAAGGTCCACAAGGGCAGGGACCACGCCTCTCTTTTTCAGTGTAGAATCCCCAGTGCTCAGCACAGCGCCAGGCACACAACAATTGCTCAAAATATTTATTAAACAAATGAGATAGACAAAATCCCCATTTTACAGATAAGAAAATAGATTTAAAGAAGTTAAATAACTCTCCCAGAGTCAGGAGCAAGCAAATGGGGGCACAAATATAACTGACTCCAGTGCTCATGCGATTGCCTTTTGATAAGGCCCATGGCAGTTTTTGATACTTAAAAAGATTAGAAACTATTCTTATAGAGAAAAGATACTAGGTAAGTTGAGACAGAGGGATTAGTAAAAGGTGGGAAAGGCTTTGTAGAGGAAGGGGGACTTAAGCTGTGGTGTAAATGTAGATCTTAAATAAGAGGAGAGGAGATAGGAGGAGGGGCAGTCAAGGCAGTGGCATCTCAGTTAAAGATTAAGAGGTAGAAATATCCATGAGTTGAGGGAGGAAAAGGAGGAGTTGGTAAATGGACACGAAAATCAACTATATTGCATATTGATAAGTTAAAATAATAAAAAAAGAAAAAAAAAAAGAAATGTCCATGAGTTGGTTGTGGAAATATGAGTGAATTACTTTGGCTGGAGCTGAATTTTTGAGTAGTGAAAGACAAGGGCAGAGCCAGATTTGGGGCATTCTTGAATGCTAGCCTGCAGAGCTTGGTCTAGAGCTAGTGAAGTGTTATAAAGAATAGGGTGGTGGTTTGGATGGTAGAAATCTGGAATCAAATAAATGTATATTTGAATCCTGGTTCTACTGTTTACTGTCTATGCAAACTTGAGCATCACTTAATTTTCTTCGAGTATTAGTCTTCTTCTGTAAAATGGAAATAATAGCAGTAACTACTTCACAGTACTGTTGTGAGAATCAATTAAATGTTGCATTTAAAGTGTTTAGGCTAGTGCCTGGAACATAGTAAGGCTTAATAAATGTTCTCTATTGTTTCAAAGAGGAGGCAATAAATGTAGAGTTTTAATAATGTATTATTCT